CACATTCAGTAGTTTTGAATGATGTTTTCAACGAGATTTATTGAAAAATGACATTTAAATATTAATTTCTTAACAATAATAAGGTAATTCAACAAATTTCATATGGACATTTTAAATGAGACTAGCTCAGCGCGTGCCTCCTGTTACAAAAGTGAGAAGAGTTTTATTCTGGAATTATATCGAGTGTTCATCAATCAAACATTTGTCTATGACAATTACAATAGTAACTTTTTCTTTCTCACGTATTTGCATAGTAAATGGAAAGTATTGCAATGCTGCAGCAGAAAGTTGAAATTTTTGACATTAAATTTCGTATTGTGGGGCGCTGTTATCAAAAAAGTTATCTGTTTGATCGACCATCTGTCCATCTGTGGTCAACACTGACGCCTAAATCTTTCAAGCGATTTTATTCAAAGCTAACATTACAGCATCGATTTGGCCGAACAAAAAACCTGCAGATTTAAAACAGATACTTCGTTGTTGTTGTTTTTTTGTGTGTACTTTACATAAACCACAGCATATTCAAAACTTTCTCAAAAATCTAAAAAAAAAATCGGGTAAAAGTTTCTCTTCGAACAGAACATAGTATACTTAAAAATGGTGCTGGTAACATTTTCGTTGAATTCTGGATTTTCGAATTCTGCAAAAGTTTTCTCAGTAACTTCAATATTGAAGTTAAACAATTTTTCTGAATAAAATCTGTTCATGAATATATACATTTTTTTTGAAAATATAAGTAATTTTCGCTTGATATAAGGTTAAAAAAGTTTTTCCGTATCTAAATGTTTTCCTTAAATTCTTCGCGAATAGAGCAAATTACACGTATAAAGAAGGCGCTGGTAACATTTTCGGCTGTCTCGATGTATTTACGAAAATTGCAAAACTACAATATTGATGGTAGAGTATTTTTGTTTAAAGAATTCTGTTCTAAAAATAAGTTTTTAATTAAGTTTTTGTAAGGCTTTTTGAAAATTTGAGTAGTTTTCAGATTATTTTTGCTTACAAAAGGCAATTAAAAATATCGGACGAAGCGCTTTTTTTCTCGAGGACACTAATTTTTCTTTAATTTTTGTTTCTCGGGTAGAACAAAGTAAGCTTTTAAAAATGATGCTCTCAATTTCTGTGAATAAAAAAGGCTCATTTTCTGTAAATTGTCTGAATTTTCAATTGTTTAAAAAAAGTTCGGTGTCTTCCTATATCTAGAATATTGAAGATAGAGTCTTTTAAATTAAATATGTTCTTTAAAAAATAGCAATGCAAATGTTCAACTTTGTTTTCAAAGCCTCGAAAAGTTCGAGATTTTTTCCGTGTCGCTGGTGGTGTAGGGGAAACGTGAATGGCGTGTTTAACTCAAGAATGTTCTGATGCAAAACAAATTTGCAGGTTGAAAAACTTTGGAACTGCTTTCCCGTAATGGGTGGTAGTAAAGTGCATGTAAGTGTGTGTTTGCGTGTGAGTACGGGGAGAGGACAGGACAAGTAAGAGGAAGGAAAGGTCGCACGCTGTTTATTAAGGTACTGCTCCGATATTCGCCTGACGTTGATACGAAAAAAACGGAAAACAAACTATCATAGCAGTTGTTAGCTAAGTATTCTCCTACAGATAGCGGCTAAATTCAACCAAACTTTTGCGAATATCTAAAATCCGCCTTCTCGTGACTTACTCTACGACCTCCCGGTTAGAGTATCTGCAGAGACAGCGACAAAGCTTGATTTGAGCAAAACCCAGCCAGTCATCTTGGCAAAACGTATCAAAACAAACGGAACAAAAAACTACGATTCCTTAAATACTATATTAATCTTGAAATAACGTACCCGTTCCTCAGTAAGCGCCTATTCTAAAATCCTCTTGACTATCATTAGTTCAAAAACCAGGCAATGCCATAAACATTAATTAGATGAAATTGTCTAATTACGTTAGGGAACAAGATTTTTACCTCCAGGAAGGTAGACTACGCAGCATACTCAATTTTATACGTAGATTACGAATATCACAATAAAACACCATATCACGTCACATTTTTAAATATATCGTATCGTATTAAATATACCGTATCGTATTATACTGTATTTTGCTATTAATGCAAATACAATTAAATTGCACCCATATGATACGTAGAGTCAATACACGTAAAATTTATTTTAAAATAAAATATTTTTTTAGGTCATCTATGCCACTTTCATGAGATATCTGCAAAGTTAGGCTTTCGTTTTTTTTCTTGTTCTTGTTTACCTTCTGTATTCGAATATTGCCGTCTTTATTCTCGCAACTGGTAGTCGCGTTCAATTTCGAGTAGGTCTTGTGATCTTAGTAGGTCTTACTGGATATTTTGAAAATAAGTCACGTACACCCTCATGTATCCTATTGCGTATTAGTCACCGAAAGAAATTTTTTTAGCCCCTTACCTGATATCGCATGTATACATTTATCCAGATTTTGAGTAGGTCGGTGTCATGCGGAATTGTACCTACAGTGCACGTGAAGTTCGTTTCTGGTGTGCGTGTGTCTCAAATAAATAAATACATACAGATCTGAGGGTTTTATAAAGTGAAATTCGCCAGATGATCTGTTGAATTGATATATATTTACTAGGCTGTCCGGGTGACGCCGCGTCTATGGCAAAGGTGGCCACGTTTCGGTCGCCATTCTGCGACCTTCCACAGGGCGTAATGCTGTTGAATTGAATCAGTTCGATAAAATGCAAATCGTCATTTCACATCGAAAGTGTGCGAATCAACTCAATAACGTAGTATGTTACGTTTGTGGAAGATTTACACCCTAATTTCAAAGAAGAAAAAAATGAAATTACAAAACTTGCGTATTCTTTATACTTGGGCTGTCATGCTTGTTCTCTACCAATGTTGTAGAGAATACAAACAAATGCATTTTAATGACTGCATATTATTGCACGAATATGTGGAATACACATTTTTAACTTGTTCTTACCAGATACGAAGCATGCTCATAAAATTTTGTAGTAATATAACCGGAGTGACAATAAGGAAATTAGTATAGGATTTTGTTTATTTCAATTAATAAATATGTTCATATCTTTTGGACTTTGCGTAATAGAAACGTTTTATAATGATTTTCGAAATCAGTGTAGTCGTTCCCTCTGAAATCCCCTACTTTCTTCTTGGATTAAGGGGAAACATATTTTTGTTACATAGTGTTATTGATATCTGGTGACTGGTGTTTACTTTTAATACTTCAAATTTTACTCCGTAGACAGGAAATTACGAATGCAAGTGTTCATCTCTAAAGTTCGAGACGATTATTACAAAGTCTCAAGAATTCAAGGGGAGGTTCAAAAGTTCGAGCTCTAACGGTGGGAGGATTTCCGACATTAGCTAGATACCTCGGTCAAATTCAGTCGCTGTCTGGAGGGGAATTCTAGCGGCCGGCTGTTCTGATCGGTAGTTTTCTGTGGTTTCTCCGATCAATACCAGGCGAATGCCGAATCAGTGACCTAACAAACTTGTCACGGACAGCGTGCCATCTTTCCTTCCTGTTGCTTGTTCTATGATCACCCCTTGTTTATTGTTTAGGCACGCTTAGTATAGTGTAATGCATGTAAATGCATTACACAACTACGCGTGTCGGGAGACCAATCGGGAGCTTGAAACTTGTGCGTCGGTGACGTGTAAGTCGGTGACGGTTCTCGCTATTCAGCAGGGGAAGAACACTGTCATTTAATAAACATGCGCTACATTTACGGGACAATAGAGCTTGTAAATGTTCATTTTTACCAATAAAACCCATTTTTGGACCAATAAAACATGTAAATGGCCATTTTTGTAATGTATTCCTTTATTAATAACTAACGTCTATCTTTGAATGAACGTCATTAAATCAATATTAAATAGTTTGGCGACTCTGAAATCCTTGTCTGACTCCTTTGTTGGTAATAAGTTTCCCTGTTTTCTCTCTTCTAGAATTTGTTATTATTGTTGAATTTGCAAAAAACATTTTCATTATTCACAACCTTTTCTGGGTAGCCATGTTTTCCCATTCTTCGCACAATCTTGTGCGATTAATATTGTCAAAAGCTGTTTGGAAGTCCACAAAAGCAAGATATGTTGGTAAATTCAATTCACTCCTTTTTTTACTTTCTCGTACTTATTTCGTAAGAAGGGAAAGTTATGTAATCTTGTGCGGAGAAACGGTGAGTTTTCAGCATAAAATCTCTTTTTGCTGACGTTGCACTGATGGAGAATATGAAAAATGTCGTGACGTGATTGCACATTAGTGATGTATCAAGGAGGGTTATTGGAATTAAAATTTCTGTATGAACGTTATTCTTTTCGACTGTGGACCGTACCCAAGGAAATATTTTTGCTTCCCATTGGAGTCATTGCGTTCGAAGCCTTGCAACATTCTTTGCCAATATATGCGATCAGTCAGCTCTGGGATTATTCTCTCATGTTGTTAATAGTTAGTTGAAGAATAAAAAAATATTCTAGACACTTCTGACTTGTATACTTATTTAGAGAAAAGTACTGGCAACAGAAGAAATGTTAAAATCCGGATCTCGCATACGAAAATACGTTTTCAAAAGGTTTTTTTTTAATATTGACAAAAATATTCGGAATTCATTACACAACTATTAAGGTAATGATGGACGTTCCCTGGCATATGTAGAACTATATACTTGTTTATAGTTGTATATACAACTATTTACCTGCATGTAGTTGTATATTTATACTATACTATATTATATAATTTTGCTACATGTTAATATCTTACATCTTGTGAATTGAAAGCATGCTCTGTATTCATAATGTAGAGAATTTTGAAAAATGTCTTTGAGAGTGCTACAATAGTATTAAGAAATGTAATTTCTGCTAATCATTTGCTTTAAATTTATTATTTTATGTTCACTTAACAACTATACGTTACAAATATTGTATTTTAAACAAAATTGTGAATCTGGATTGATTTAAATTGCGCATTTCTCGGAATACTTGACCTATTATACCTACATTCTTCTTTGTCTTCAGGTCCATGGAGACCAATATTACACTGTGGCAGTTCCTGCTTGAGCTGTTGCTCAGCAACCAGTATACGAGCATCATTACTTGGACGAACAACGACGGAGAATTCAAATTAGTGAATGCGGAAGAGGTGGCCCGTCTGTGGGGACTTCGCAAGAACAAAACTAATATGAACTATGATAAACTTAGCCGCGCTTTGCGGTACTATTATGATAAGAACATTATCAAAAAAGTACTCGGTCAGAAGTTTGTGTATAGGTCCGTTCAATGCCATACTAATTTTACAATTTGATGAAAGAAAATTGACAACTATGAAATGTATTTTTTGCATTTTACTGTCAATAGGTTCGTCTCGTTCCCGGAAATTGTAAAAATGGAAAATAAGATACCATTTCGAGTGAAAATGGAGAGTCTACAAAAAAATCCAGGAATATTCAGCAGTAACTTTTACTATGGAGCTGCCACGACGGCATTGGGAATAAATTCATTTCCAAGCAATGGTTCAGGAATTACTGGTAAGAGATATTTCATCAGGAAATTTATTCGATTACTAATACATTATTTAAAATAGCTAAACTAATGAATTAACAAAAATGAAACCAAATCCATTTACGATCAATTAATGCAAAAATAATTTGTATAAAGAAAAGCAATTTATTCAATATGTTGATTTGTATATCTGTTTTCTATTAGTTTCTTTTTCTTTATTATCTTATCAATCTCATTATCAGTGTAAATGTCAAAACTCTATATGTATCAATGTAACAGGGAACTTCGGTTGATGAATGTTTTTTTAGAATTTCGTTTGAGAATACACCTGAACGTGTTTAAATGATATTCGTGGTCACTTTTTCTTTGAGAAACAACCCCAGTGACAAAGTTAAAGCTTTAAAAGCATTTGGGAACGTATATTTATCATGAAACTAAAGTACGGAGGGTCATTTTAAATAGTGAAATTATCATCAAGCTTTTAATAAGAAAAAGCATAGATAAGAAGAGCGAAGCTATTGTTCCGGCCAAGTATTGTTGCATACATTGTTCCCTTACTTTACGCAGGTCATAGTTGCGCACCTAGGCCATATTTTTTGTGAGACCAATTTGCCAACCTTAGGCGATTACCTCTTTCTCTAAGAGTCTTTTGAACTTGAAGATTTTTAACTGGCTAAATAATTAAGAGAGTTTTAGGGACATTAAAATTCTCCTTGTCTAGTACACTTTCATTATTTACTTTCAATGTCCAGGCATTTACACTCAGGAATTTAGTTCAGGAGTTTATTTTTGCTATTAAATGATCATTTGAAGTATTTATTGATATTTTATATTTTCATCTTATTTCGGAGGATTTGCATATTTTTGGGGTATGACCTACTTTAGATCACTATTTTTAATATTGATTAGCACACAGATTTAAAAAAGTGAGGACAGGAATATGTAGAAGTTGATGACACGTACTAGCAGATATTCGCGCCTAGATAAACCTCTAAGTACAGGATATAGCAGAATGTAGATCTTATTCATATTCTTAACGTTCAAACAAAGTCAAGAGCGTGAGTAGTATTTTGAAAGACGTTTGAGCAGATGCTGTGATTCTAGTCGTTTAACGACCGCCATTGTATCAATTGATGACAATGACTTATTAACGATGAGTCATGCGAAAAAGACGTCTCCTGTCACATTGAGTCCATTCTGTTTGTAATTGACTTTGCACCTAATATTTCATGGGATTGAGGTTGTGAAGTAGTTGGTAGAGATATTGGTGCTTCTAATTCAATAAATGGGACAGAAGAAATGCCGCTTCTTTATTTACTCACAGTACAATCAGATCGGATGTCTGCCATATTCGGGACAATAAAAAGTGAACTAACACATTAATGAAATACGTAAAAAATTAAAATAAAGGAGACATGTACTTTGGGCAACTTTGTTGTAGGAAATTTGCATGTTTTCTGTGCTCAAACGGAACTTATACTATGATTTATTGTGGTGATTGTATAATTTTCCATGTCATATTTCAATTTAAACATTTGACTCAAAAATGAGTAAAGTGCTTGTCTCCTAACGTTGTATCTCGAGCCACCCGCCTTATTATAGACACGAAACGTACATGATATTCGTGAGTGGTAAATCAAGGAGAGCATATATACATTTTTTTATGAAACACCTATTACATAAAACACGTGATTGAATTTCAAATAACTCAATTTTTACGCCTTTTTAATAGGAGAATTTCTGTTTTTACTCCACACTCTTATGTTAAACTTGAGTACTATTCTTTTTTTCTTGATACTTGGGCTCCAATTTTAATTTCCTCTGCATTGTCTGACAACTTCTTCTGACTTCTTCAACTGACTTTTCGGGTTTTCGGCCATCTCTTTGCTCTCTTCATTATGGTCATGTATTTTAACCAATTATACCGACGTAAAAGCAAAAGCAATTGAATTTATGTTATCCAACAATGATGGAGTGCGTGCAATGGATAAGCGTTTGGAATTTATCAGTGGTTTTTGACTGTGACAAGCTTGGATGCTCATACCGGTGATGAGTCTTGGATTTTCATTTTCTTGAAAAGGTCTGCCCATTGAATTACTGCTCAAACATTCATCATAAGTAAGAACTAGACATCTTAAAGCACATTGCACGTAAATTATAAACCTCAATCTACTACACTCTTGTTAATTTTTGAAATTTATTGGTGGCCGGAGGAACATGGTAATTAAGAGGCACAAAATACGACTGCTTTCTTACTATAATACTATGCCAATTAATATCAATACCATAGATTTTGATCTATTAGAAAAATTATACTACTAAAAATCTATACAATTATATTCAATATAATTTTCACTTAAAATGTAGTTTAGCATTTCGTAAAAAGCAAACTTGCAAACGGTGGAAATTTTACTTTTGAGTAACTATTTCAGAATTCACCTAGATGCGTATAAACAGCTTACAAATGCAACGGACCGTCTTGTCACCACTCAAACTGAAAATAGAAGATTTATATAAGTTTTTTTTCAAAACCACTCGTTGCCCGAGGTATAAGTGTTTCCCCTACATTGCAAACAGTTGTATAAAATATAATATGATAAAATGTAATATCAAAATAAAATTAACCGGTAATTTTCTCTATTACATTCTCCATACCTAATTCCAATGCGTGCCAAAATTGAAAGATAACCATGCATCCTCCGGCATTTAGAGAGGAGCCCAGAGTTTCCTTCGATACCCAGGAAATCGAGAACAGTACAAAAAGGTTCAAAAAGTTTTCGGCGTCTTCCTGCAACTACAATATTGAAGGCAGAGGATTTTCCCTGAATGAAATGTGATTTTTAAAGTCAGGTCTTGAAATAAGGTCATGTACATTTTTTTCAAAATATGAGTAATTTTGCGCGTAATTTTGTGTGAAATACACTATTTTGTAAAACAATTATTTTCTCAAAAACCGCGCTAAATTAAAACAAAACGTCTCTCGAACGCATCAAAGGACGTTAAAAAACTTATGCTTGTCCCATTTTCGGCGAACTCGCTGTATTTTGGAATATTTCAAAAAGTTCAGAATTCTTGTGAGACAGAAGTCTATGGCAAAAGAAGAATATGGCAAAAGTACAATATTGAAGTTAGAGATTTCTGTCTCATATGAACTCTGTTCTTTCAAAAGTGATGTACAATTTAAAGAAAACGAGTAATTTTTACTTGAAGTTAATGTTATTTATTAAAAAAAGGCTATAAATGTTTACGGCATGGAATGTGTTTCCACCAAGTGCAAGTGCAGCATGAGATCCCCAAAGCGATTAAATCTAAAATTGTGTGGTGCATAAGGATTATTTACTTCCCGTCTACTTTTCCTAAGAAAGCAAATAATTTTAAGCCTTCAAATATTCTATTTCTATTCACAAATCTCACATCACACGTTAATTTGAGGAAGGGGGAGCCTAGACACTATACATGGGAGAGCAGACCTGGTTAGTACTCTGATTCCTACTTCGCGACCACGTAGCTTCCACAAGCCATAACACTGAGACACGTATCCTTCACAACCTACCCACACGAACTTCCCACATCGTTGCACTGATCATACTGATACTGATTTTCACGTACGTTTCAGTATGATCCGTGCAACAATTTGCACGGATTATTGTGCAATTAAATCTAATTATTTGAAATTTATTCGGTCCAGGAAACCTTCAATATTTCCCCCACAACCACATTTCACAAGCTTCTAAACGACTCCTGTCCATTTGCAAAAAGGTCCATCCTTCACATCCGTATAATAGGACACTCCAGATATAACTTTTCAGAAATTTCTTTCTAATATAAAAATTTAGGTTAGTATTTGTGAGCAAATTTATTTTATTTAGGAACGACATCTTTGCCACTGTAATTAGCTTTCTTATTTCTGTTGTTCTTTGTCTTCGGTGAAAGTACAGTCTAAATAGCAAAAATTATGTACAGGTTCTATTGCTGTTCTACCTAATGTTATTTTACTATATATTTTTTTCTTTTCCAAATATCATTGAATGTATATTTTTTTATGTTAATTTTGATGAGGAACCTTTGCACAATTTTGCAGGGCTATTTATCATTTTCGGTTAATCTGTTTTGAAGTAGCTAAGATTGCTATATTTTTAGCATATCTTAAAAAGTGTATTTCTAAGCCATTGAATTTTATACCCTTTGTTTTCCCTTTAAAATGTTTGGTTGCTTCTTCTATAAACAGGTTCTATAAATGGGGTGAAAGGAAGCATTCTTATATTACTCCATTTCTGATCTTCGCTTTGGTCTCCTGGCTATTATTGGTTACTCATGAGTATTGATTTTCAAAGAAATGTAGTATAATTCTTCGGTCCTTCCAGTCTAGGTGTACGCCTTTCATGATCCAAAATAGTATTTTCCAGGAAATCTTGTCGAAAGAGTTTTTCAAGCCTGTGCATGCTACATAGTGACCTTATTCATTTCTATTCTATTGTCTAAGACGCTCCTGAGTGCAATAACTTTAGAACTCGGAGAGTAGTATTTTCATGGTTCATTGATTGTCTTCTATAATATTGGGAAGGAAATATTCTGCTTCCCTCTCTTTTTCAATTGAAACCTTCAACCAAGTTTTTGATTTTCGCA